CGAAACCGCCAAGACTTACAATTTGGGCAAAACTCGAACCAATAAAGGGATTAAATTACGACACGGAAGACAAGTGGAGAGAGTGTATCGCTTGGAGTTCGTGTCGGACAGCGCTATCGGACCGCCGGAGTACCAGAAGTGGTTGCAGTCGATGGAAAAGGACAGATGCGAACTCCCGAACAAAGACTTCTACGAACGCAAGAAGCGCGACATCAACAGCGCTGTCAACTACTCGTACAGCAACGACGACATTGAGTCCATCGTTCACGAGAAGGAGAGGTTTGAGAACAGACCAGTCAATTACGCCATGAAGAAGAACCGACTCATGCGCGAGAAGGAGACGGCGGAACTCAATGGCGACAACGATCGCGTCGAACGCATCCTCCAAGAGATCGACGAACTCGAGGCCGAGGCCAAGAAGTTGGACAAAAAGCGGACGCAAAACATTGCCGCCATTTCGTACATCAATGAACGCAATCGCATGCGAAACATATTGGAGTCCGAGAAAGCACTCGTCGAGGAGAGCAGCGCTCAAAAGGCATCGCTTAAAGACGATCCGTTCACTCGACGCAAATGCACGCCAACTATGATCCATATGTTCAACAAAAACAAAGTCAAACCCGAAGCCGATTCCTCTGCCGATAACGTGGACTCGTCTAAGAAGTCTGACTCAAAAGGCGATACAACAGCCGAAGAGAATGGCAAAGAGTCGGCGCCCGGAGACCAGAGCAACGGCGCGGACGGACTGTCGAAACTGTCGGCCAACGCGGCGGCTGAGAGGCCGATGTCACCCAATCATCACAACGACTTGTTCTCTGCACACAATTTTGACATAAAAATTGATTTTGATGTCGACATCGGAATACCGGCCTCTTCTTCGGCCAACAGTTTTTCAAACAGTTCTATCACTTCAAACATCAGTCCATTCATAACACCGAAGCCATCGAATAGACGATCACTTAATTTAGACGAATATAAGAAGAAAAAGGGACTCATTTAATAGACATTACGCTTAACTGATTTAGTCTATCACTAACTCATTGCCCCCGACTCTGACTCTCAATTCATAATTGAATTACAAATAATTATTAATATTATTATTTAATTAAATCTTACAATCATTTGTTTATTTGATTGAAATTTGAAAGTAATTTTTTGTTTAGTGAATAAAATTATTTTTTGTTCGCAAAATGATTGTCATATTATGTGAAAAATCAAATAAAAAACATTTTAATTTTAATCATAATTAAGATTTTTAGCGTTTAAATAAATTCTGTATAAAATTTGAAAACATTTTTTGTTTCTGATTTCATCTCTCATTAAATAATATAATTTTATAAAAAAATAAAAACCAATTTTAAGTTAAATTTATACGCGATTTATATATTAAATTGAATGTCAATTGAAAATATTGAGCCGATTGAGAGCCGAGCGGTCAGTCCTTTGAACGGAGTTTCCCTTCATATGAATGCAAACAACGATTACTTAACGACAAACGTATTGAGCAAACGGTCCCTCAAAAGGGGTTCAAAACAAAACACTTTCGCATTGAAAACACCGAAAAGTTTTGAGCACTCATTGCGGGAACTGATTGTCGGCTTAGATATCAATTGAGACCACATTTGCGGCCATAATATGGAAGACGAAGACTTGGAGGAAATGAAGTATTTGAGAGGTAAGTGTCGGCCAGTATTGGTTGTCGTGATTGAAAACCATTGATTGTCTTACAGAGCAATACAAACGCATGGAAGCGGTCGACAACAAGAAGATAACGGGATATAAGTTTGACTTGAATTCAGTCAACAAAAAGAGCCAAACGTTTCCCAAACTATTGAAACAAAGGGACGACACGTTTGCCG